GTACGCTTTTTGAAGACCTCCCCCTCCTCCCTATGAGCGTACGTACTTTATGGATGACCCCTAATTGCAAATTGATAAAAATAAATATATATTTGAAGATTAATAAATTAATTTGTCAATTATTTTAGCAAACTTTTTTTTATTTATTACGGAATCAAACTTTCTCGAACGATAGTTATAAGTACCACTAAAGATCTATTTCAAGAATGTAACTTGTAATTTAATTTGTATATTAGGGTAGAGTGAAAATTTAGTTTGTTTAGGTTTATGAGTAAACTTTATATAAAACTTTCTTTTTATTATCAACTACCGTAAACCGGGGTTTTGAATACTTTGAAAGTAACTTTGAATACAAATCTTTTTTTTCGGGGTAACTTTAGATACAAATCTTTTTTTTTTAAGTTATAATTATGGCATATTTTATTTTATAAAAAAAAATATATATATATATATATTTCGGATATTTTTCTCAAAAAAATTAGTCAGAATACTTCGTACACTGCCTCAGCTAGTGTAGCAGCTTGTTGTCAAGTTGCATAATTTTTGTTTATAAATTTATTAAGCATGTAAAATCTAAAGAAGTTTGTTTGCCTACTATAATTATGTTCGATTGCTGCAGCATAACATACTTTGTTGTATACATTTTTTCGCATACTTTGAATAACGTTCAAAGTAACTCCACTACATAAATAGTCAGAAACATGAAACAATTTTAAAATTTCCTTTGTCATACATGTATTGTATATAATATATTAAGTATTGTACATAATATTATTGTGATTAAAAATTAAAATATCATGTGTATAAACAGTAAGTCACACATACACACGTAGTTTGTGTGTGTGTGTTTATGAGTGTGTGTATGTGTGTATATGTGTGTGTGTGTGTCTTTGTGTGTATGTGTGTATATGTGTGTGCGTCTTTGTGTGTATTTGTCAGGGTTGCCATCTGGTATTTTTTAAAGCCAGATTTCTCAAATCTGGTTTGTTTTTTTATAGTTTGGCTTGGAACTTTTGTTTTGGTTTATTTTAGAAAATCTGGTTTAAATCTGGTTTATTTTAAAGCCTTTAGTCTTTTTTGTTTTCTCTGGTATGATTTTTAAAATCTGGTTTAATTATGGTTTATTTAATAATAAATCAATTTAATTAAGTTTTTGTTTCATGAAAAAAGTTAAAATGAGGGAAAGAAAGTTTTCTATTTTTTTATTTTATAGAAGAACAATCAAGTTTAAAATAAATGGAAGAAATGCTTACATTAAAATCTTAAAACGTTAAAAACTTTTATTTGTAATGTAGTTAAAGTGTTGTTTTTAACCCTTAATTGCCAAAAATATTAAAAAATTCTTACATTCAAAATGACATTTTTTGAGAAAAATCTGCCTGTAATGAATGTTGTTTCCCAAGTTGAAAAGGTTATTTAAAATCTACAGTTTTATCTTATGGATGCAAAAAGTGAAGAAATTGAAAATCATTACAGAAATCGTCATTAATCATAAATTAATTGACATTGCATAATTAGTGCGAGTCTAAAAACTTTTAAGAAAAATGAGTTTCTAAAGACACCGCTGAATTTTAAACTGCTTTGTGAGACCATTTAGAGGTTTTAGATCTCTGCAATATAGATGCTTACTGCCATGGCTGTTTATGTGTTCTGTTTCTAACTGTTTTGTTGAGTCTTCTCACAGTTTATCTGCATAAAAATCAGACTAAGAAAAAATCAAATCAACCCTTACATGTAGTTATTTGTATCAAATCATATTTAATAAGGCAAAAGATTTTTTACCAGGACTTTAGAATAATTGAGTCAATTATCGCAAAGGTTGGAAAAGAAATCTATATCCATATGCAAGCCAAAAAAATGAGTATATTTTACAGGTTGATAGTGTCGGATTTTGTATAGGTGTTTGGGAGTGAACTACTTTCCCCATGCCGTTTTGAAGGTTGGACTGGCGCCCCATTAAAAATTAATATTAAGTTGTTCTTCTCCTCCTCCCTCACTCTCTTACAAATTAAATTTTATAATTCAAGGATGAATTTTTAGATAAAAAAGTATTTTTTTCAAAATATAAATTATAAACAAGGCTTTAAAACAAAAATTTATGACTTTTTTCTTTTTTTATTGGTCTGGTTTATTTCTGGTTTATTTTTGTTTCATTTTTGGCTTGTTCCCAAAAAAAAACCTGGCAACCCTGGTATGTGTGTATATGTGTGTGTCTTTGTGTGTCTTTGTGTATATGTGTGTGTGTGTCTTTGTGAAGAAATAAAACGAAAGTACAAAAAACCTCTAGTGACTACTAAAAACATTGACAACATCACCAGTACGTATCCAATAATTTCATTACCTTGGGTACCAATATTGTCTCCCAAATTGCGTAAAGTGTTTAGGAAGGCAGGATATGAAACGGTCTTTAAATCAAACTTAAACCTAGAAGCAATATTAACTTCAAGAAATAAATCCAAACTACAAAGGAACAGCCACCCAGGAGTTTACCTTATTAAGTGCCATTGTAACAAAAAGTATATTGGTGAAACAAAAATGCAAATAAAAACACGCATGCAACAACACAAAAACAGTACAATAGGAAATAAAACAGAAAGATCAGCATTAGCCGCACACGTGAAACATTGTGCACAACAAATTAAATGGGACAGTTGCAGAACTCTAAAAGTCAATAACAAAAAGTTTGATAGGAAAGTTCGTGAGGCGCTTGAAATACAGTACCACCAATGTGCCCCTCAACAAAGTGGTATCAATTTAGATGAGGGACAATATGTGTCAACAAAATTCTGGACACCATTTCTAATGCACTTACGTCAGAAAAAGACGAAACCATTCCATTGACATATAATAAAATTGCCGTTTAAAAATAACATATAAACTAAAACAAACAAAATCTTTTAAGCTGAAGACGCTGGTCACAACAATCCAGCGAAAATTTCTTTTAAAAAATAAAAAATAAATTTAGTATCGAGAGAAAATCGTATTTATTGATGTTTATAAAATAATAATTTACATACTCTCATACTCACATATATATATATATATATATATATATATATATATGTGTGTGTGTGTGTGTGTGTGTGTGTGTGTGTGTGTGTGTGTGTGTGTGTGTGTGTGTGTGTGTGTGTGTGTGTGTGTGTGTGTGTGTATATATATATCTACTAAAGCATATTTATATGCGCAATTGCTCACTTTTTTTGCTAGTCTAAATTAAGTGAGATTTTTTAGAAAACGACGAGGGAAAATGAAGAATAATGAATGAAAAGGCTGCTGACCCATACCAAACCCTCAGTCGATGTAGCAGCACTCCACTGCGAGTCAGGCTATTTGTCAGTCGATGTATGTACTGAAGCCCCCGGCAGCAGGCTATTTCAGTATGACGTAATCATGCTCACCTAACTCAGCAGTATAAGATATATATGTGTATATATATATATATATATATATATATATATATATATATATATATATATATATATATATATATATATATATATATATATATAAATCTTGTTTAAAAAATATTTGTGTTTACATTTAATATTGTGTTGAATTATATTTGTTGAAAATAAAACTGTTTTATCTTTAAATTTGTTTTTGTTTAGCATTTCATAGAAGTACTATGCCACTTTTATATGAAAAAAAATTAATACAAGGTAGTACATAAATTATACTGAATGATAATTTTGTGGTAACAATAAACATTATTAGATAAAAAAATTATTAAATGTTCATTTGGTACAAGTTGTCACTTTGTATAATAAAGTTTAAGTCCAAAGTTTTTACAAATATGCAACATGTTATGTTACGTCAATCGTGCTTAGTGTTTCTTGTCAAGTGGCCTGTGGTTATGTTTATAAAGCTGACCATTTATGCACAACAAGAACCAAAGTCAACAATACAATCAAAGCTAGGACAGTTTAATTCTATTCACTTTTTTGACTGTTTTGTTATTGTTTTTTGTCAAATTTTAGGAGCATTCCTATTAGTTAAATCTAAGTAATTTTTACATTGAAAAACTTGAATTTACTAAAGAAAATATCTTGTTGAGAAAGAAACAGTATCTTGTTCTATAACTGGTAACTCTACCCATTTATTGCAATCTCTTAATGTTGTATTTTATTGATCTCTTAAAAAATATTTTAAGAAAATACTTGTTTAATTGGAAACCTTTTGTTTAAAAAATGCACAGACTGTTACAAAAAATAAATCTTCTTTGTTTTTTATCTACTTATTATCATTATTTTTGTTAAATCAAAAGGTAATCAACAACTTAGTTGCTTAGTGGTTTTGAAAAAAATTTGGGAGTTACCCATTAGATATAAGTATCATCTTCAATCGTTGGCCAGATAGTTATAACTTTAGTTCGCCAAGCAGTAATTAATGTACTTTAACAATTTTTTTATGTTGATGTAAAGGAAAAAGCAGATTCAAAGGGGAAAAAAAATTACTTTTGATCTTGTTAAAAATTTTTCTTATGAGGATTTTGGCAAAATATAAAGATGTTCCACTTGCAAAGTCATTTACATCAATTTCAGTTGCAAAGTGAAATTGATGTAAACGAGACTTTTTTTTTATGCTAGTCCCCTTAAAAAATACCCATTTAAACAAAATAATATACTAAATGGGTGTTTGTTATGAAAAAATGTTATATTATTTTAGCAATAATAAATTACTGTGAAACTAGAATGTTGTTTTTATTAAATTTTAAAACAAAACAAGGCGTTTTTAAATAGGTTTTTTGTATTTACAAAAAACGCATTCAAAGATTTTTTACAGAATATTGCACGAAATTGTTCACAAAAAAATTCAAAGATTTTTAATTAACACGGTTGAAAAAATTAAAACTGTATTTGTTATAAAATCACATTGACAAATAGCAAAAGCTTGTTCTCTCTAAATATCAAAGTCCACACCTATGATTCAAGGTCATTTTGATAATTATTTTATTAATAAAGTTCATGGTAAATAATGCTATTATACTATTTCTTTGATAGGTTAGTTTAATTTGTTAAATACCCATTGGTTAAAAATGGCGATTTGGCTGTCATTCACTACATGCAAAAAGTAAACTAAGTTTAATTATAAAAAAACCACCGACATTCCACTTTTAATACTTTGTTAACAAAGAAAGGTCATCGAATGCGTTTATATACTGCAATCAGTTCGAAGGTTGTGATTCTATTTGCTTGTTGACTTCAATTTTTATATCTTGTCCTTCACGTAATACTGTGTCCAAGTGTTAAAATAATTTTTAATTAGTAAACATTCTGAGTTTAAAACATTTTTTATTTCCAAAAGAGAATAATGTCGAGTACAAGTAAAGAAGGTAATGCTAGCAGAGTGCAAAAATATCGCATGAAAAAGAAAGCCGAAAGTGAAGAATTTCAGAAGAGAGAAAATGCTAGAACAAATGCCATCAAGAAAAATAAGAGACGAAATATGAGTCAAACTGAACTAAAAACAATACGAGAATATGAAAGGGATCAAAAAAGAAAACAGAGAGAAAGAAAACAGTTAGAAAATGAAACACCTGATCCAAGTACATCAGAATTTCCGCCATTAAATTTCTATTATCCATATAATTGCCCACAGACTTATGCAAAAGTACTATTGAAAGCAACTGAAAGCTTACCTACATCACCAAACAAACGGAATTCTATTATTAGCGGCTTAGTAGACAAGTATAGTGTCAAGATCAGTGATTTGTCTCACAGAAAATCCATATTTGGTCAAGATGATATCTTAATTGAAAAAGTCAAAAGCTTCTATTTCCGTCCAGATATAGTTTACACTGGTCCTGGGATGAAAGATACCATGGTTTCGTGGAAGTCAGGTAAAAAAGAGACATTGCATAAGTTTTATCTGACTGTTTTTCTTCGAGAAGGATTTTTTATGTTTAAAGAAGAAAATCCAGATTTAAAAATCGGCTTTACAAAATTCACACAGCTGCGACCGGAAAACGTGGTTTTATTGAAAGATACACCGAAAGATCAGTGCCGCTGCAAAATTCATGAAAATTTTACCCTAAAACTCAAAGCATTACAAATTAAATATGAAAATTTTTGGCAAAATGTTTTATGTGACCAAACAATGAATTCAATTTGCTGGAAAAATGAATGCTTTTCTTGTATGAATTTATTAAAATTCAGTAGTCCTGATCCTGAACAGCTATCTCTCACCAAGATTTGGAAAAAATGGGATAAAGATGAAGGAGGTCGATTGCAACTAATCTTACGAGAGCGTTTGAGTACAGCGTTGAGCGTTTTGTTCTTGTAAAACAAAAAATGCTATCTCAATCAGATGTTGAAGTTCAATCTGCTAAGGATTTTGCTGAATTAGCGTCGCAACAAGTAACTTCTACTAAAATTATTTACGTTTCTGAAGAAAATATTAAATCGCAGATTGACACTTTCAGACCATGGCAAGATGTCATTCCAATTACCGGCATATCAAATTTTCATATAATATCTTGTGATTCGAGACAATTCGAGCTAAAAAGCACGATTTAGATGGCGAAGATCAAGTGTTTTTTTGCAAATAACTATTTTTAATTCTTATGCTTGTACGCGTCCGTCACGTAACAAAACTGTCCTTCACGTAAGTTTACTATTTACTATATTTTATTAAAAACTGATTATTTTTCAAGAACCAAAATTTATACTTTTGTTTTCATTAAACTCTACTCTATTAACAATTAAAGAAAAAAAGTTGTATTTTTTTAATAATTCGCTGAATTTTTCAAATGCATTTACTTAATTGAAAATGTGGTATTTTATTTGTCCTACACGTAATGCGAACAAAATGTTACAAAAATCAAGTCATTTTGAAAAGTCAAAGGTAGATTTTACTGTATATTTAAGTAACATTTAAATTTTTTTTTAACTATAATTTTTTTTTGAAAAATCATTATTTGGTTCCTTGTATAATTTAATATTTCATTTCCAAACAGTGTACAAATGTCCTTCACGTAATCATGTAATGCTCCAAAAACACATTTAATATCTCAAGATAATTTGTTATAAAGTATGTAAAGTTTAGGAGTAAAGACACATTGAGCATACACATACACATTGAGCATACACATACACATTGAGCTGAAGGTACTAAGTGGTACACATTTCATACGATTTTCATTACTTCATTTACTTTGAAACCTAAAAGTTGTATGACTCCTGCTAATGAAAATAATGAATATATTCCAAAAGTTTAGCTCTAATTGAAACTTAAATCTTGAGATATTTTGAGATTTAAAAAATCTTTGTTTATTATTAATCTCCAATAGAGTTGTTGTTTTTCTGATTTTGTTGTTTTATGACTGAATAACCATCAGTTGTGTAGTCATGAAAAACAGCTTTATTGTTGTTTTATGACTGAATAACCATCAGTTGTGTAGTCATGAAAAACAGCTTTATTGTTGTTTTATGACTGAATAACCATCAGTTGTGTATTCATGAAAAACAGCTTTATTGTTGTTTTAGGTTTGTTAGTATAACTATCCAGTGGGCACGGGACAAAAAAAAGACGTCTTTTGAACGTATTGAACGTCTTTTTTAAAGTCTTTTAACATTTTGGACATCTTTTGACGTTCAAAAAGCGTCTTTTTTATGTCCTGTGCCCATTGGGTATTTAGTAAGTAATTCATCGCTTCAAAAACCATAAAAAGTTGGGAGAAAAACAGGTTACCCAGTGGGCACGGATGTAAAAAGGTCTTATAAATGTCTTATACACGTTTTGGACGTCTTTTGAACGTTTAAAAGACGTCTTTTTTTGGTCCGGTGCCCACTGAGTTGATTATTACAAGAAGTTACAAAAGACTAGCTGGAGGGAGAACAAAGCCGAAAATCATTATAAATTGTGGTACAGTTTTAGAAGTATGACTATTCCAGCGGTAAGTCAAAACGGCGCCTTTGAATTAAAAGAAGAAAATTTTGAAATTTCGTTTGTAACCATTAAAAGCAGAAACCGAAGTGGGTTACTTTCTTAAAAGTTGTCTGGATAATTTATTAACTACTGTTTGAACTATATATATACACGTTTTGGACGTCTTTTGAACGTTTAAAAGACGTCTTTTTTTGGTCCGGTGCCCACTGAGTTGATTATTACAAGAAGTTACAAAAGACTAGCTGGAGGGAGAACAAAGCCTAACTATAATCTAACTATAATGTTGGATATATCAATAAATTAAAGTAAAATAAAATGTTTATATTTTCGTTAGTTTTGCCGCTCTAATTGGCTTTTTTCTGTTATTAATATTACTTGTTATGCTTTAAAGGGTTTGGCGGTAAGACTGAATTTGTTTTTTTTATGCCCCCGCCGAATATTTATGTTTCATAATAAAAGTTTTGTAAATTTTTGAAATACAAAATAATAGAAGAATAATACTTAGTGATTATAATTATATTATTTTTTATCAAATTCTTATTGCTAACACAATATGATAATAAAATACATTGATAAAATACATCTTTATTAAAAATTATCTTTATTAAAAAAAATATATATTTTTGATAAAATATATAAATATTCTATTAATATTATGGTTCATTATTATCTGAATATGCCTAGTTATAGGAAGAACATGAAGTTAAACGAATAACACAATTAGTCATTGGAAGAGTTAATAGAATTAATCATTATATATTGTACTATCTATCCGGACCCGTAAAATACTCGTTTTGATAAGTTTATTCTACACCGACAATTTCTATATTTATTCCTTACTTTGATAAAAAAAAAAAACTATACATGTTGTTTACCTTATAAAGTTATGAATAAAAAAATGAATTTTAATATAATTAACTTAAAACGTTTCGGTAGTCGTTGCTCGAACCGTTAGTTAACAGCGGTTTGGATATTAGTACTTGAAACAGGTACTCTAAATAATATACAGAATACCCGCTCGAAATGTGTTGATTAATTACAATCGGTATAATAATTTTGAAAAATATTTGAAATTAGACTAAAAAATATGTGGAATAAAAAGTATTTTTTTCGCTATTTTTAATTAAATTTTAAGTTTCATATTATTATCTCTCAGCGTTCATAAATTCTGACCATATAAAGTTTAAACCCCCTCAATTTGATGGGGTTACAAATTTCATATGGTCATAACTTCTGAACACTTAGAGATTGTAAAACAATACTTAAAATTTATTGATGTATATAAATTTAGTTAAAATATAGCAAAAAATTTCATCTATAATCCGATGGCGATTGCAAATAATACCGAATATGTATTATAACTTATATTTTTAAGATCTTAACCGTTTTTACATTAACTATATCACTGATTTAGTTAATGTTTCATACTGATATTATCAGTATGAAACATTATACCCAATGGATTCACGACGTGTTTTAGTTGAATTAAAACATGCGTATTAAGACGTCTATAACACGTCTTTTGCCCCTTAGAAATGTAATATACTTGATCGGATATACTGTATATCCCGGATATAAAATTGGGAGTTCGATTCACCTGCTCACTATTTGTCTAGTTAATTCGCAGCTAACTTGCCGCCAAAATAGATCAATTTTCAAAATATTTAGACATAATACATAATTTAATATATTTAGGAAAACGCTCGAAAATCTTAAAAGATTAAAATCTTTTATGATTATCTAAAATTATTCCTTTATAATCATCAGCTGTTCAACTATTTTAATGTTCTCTCTGAATTTTTTTTTTAATAATAATTGCTTTTAATTTGATGATGTGTATAACTCGAAACACGGTGGTTCTCTTAAATGATCAATGATTACTTGATGCATAATGGTCAATATCATTTAATGAATTATGATTATATCTTGCTATTTTTTAGTGTATATATATATATATATATATATATATATATATATATATATATATATATATATATATATATATATATATATATATATATGTATATATGTATATATATATATATATATAAATTTATATATATATGTATATATATATATATATATATATATATATATATATATATATATATATATATATATATATATATATATATATATATATATATATATATATATATATGTATATTTATATAAATATATATAAATATATACATATATATATATATATATATATATATATATATATATATATATATATATATATATGTATATTTATAAAAATATATATAAATATATATATTATATATATATATATATATATATATACATATATATATATATATATATATAATATATATATATATATATATATATATATATATATATATATATATATATATATATATATATATATATATATATATATATATATATATATATATATTTCCGTATTAAATATGTTTTTGGAAAAGATATTCTGATATTATGTAGTATTATATATTATAAATTGTGTAGAACAAAACAAAGTGTTTTTCAAGTTAGATGACTTACTAATTTTTTATAGAGACCAACATTAATTTATTTTAAAGATCAACATTAAAATTAAAGTATTACTTTCCTACGTATGAAGGAACTTAATAACAGACAACTAATAATTATATAATTTAAATTATTATTAATGTTTTAAAATGGTGTTGAGAAGCTAGTAGATAAATGTTTATTTTTGCCTGATTGGAGTATAATAGTTTTAAATAAAATTTTTCTTCAAACCACTATACTTTTTATTTTAATAATATAAGTAAGAAGTAATGTGGCATTTTATTTTTTCAAAGTATATAAGGCTAGTTTTTCTAAATAGACCAAAGATTTGCACTAGATCTAGTCAATAAATTCTAAGTTGTACAAATCATAAAACATAAAAAATTATTCAAGAGCTATAAAGTATTGTACCTGTGATTTCAATGTGAATTTAATGGCATTACATGTTCTTTATATATTATGCTTTATGTGCATACACTTTGACATAGTCAAAAGCAAAACATCCCAAAGATGCTCAAATTATCCCCACAAATATAAACATATATAAAGCTTTCTACACATCGCTCATTAGGCTACACAAACCATTTATAAACTAAAACAGGCAGAATATTATTGTTCTTTTTACTGTTCTATTTTTGTGTTTGTTGTTACTTTTTTATGCTTTTATCTTTATTATTTTTATTATCAAAATTTTGTGCTTTTAATCTAAATTTATTTTTGAATATATTTTGAGTTTTTTTTGTGTAGGAACGCTTGCTTCTACTCAGAAAAACAAATAGCTTCTGCTCCTCTAATAATATTAACTAACATACTAAATTTTATAATTTATTTTTTGATTAAAATTTTCTTCTTCTGCATTAATATCCTCCAAAGTCTGCTTCTGCTCCTAATACACCCATATTTTTTTTCTACAAAAAATACATACTTCTGAACCTAAATCAAATGATGCTGTTCCAAAATTACAATCTTAGATCATTGAGTTATTGTTATTGTTGTTATATATAATTATTTTATAATTAAAAAAAATATACTACTAATTATAATAATGATGATAATAGTAATATAAATAATAATAATAATAGTAATAATAATAACAATAATAATAATAGCAATAATAATAATAGTAACAATAACAATGAAAATATTTATTGTAATATTTATTATTTTTATTATTGTTATTATTATTTATTATTATTATAAAGTAATAATAATAATAGCAATTATAATAACTATTATGATTTAATAACTAAGCACTTAACTCAAGCTGTTCTAAAAAAGTAAAATTTTGTATCTTTAAAATTTGTCATAGTTGGTTGGTTGTTAGTTGGTTAAAGTGCTTAAATCTTTTTAATATAATCACATATTGTTTTGGTTGATCAAAAGTAAATAAGTTTTATGAAACAAATAATCCAAATTTAAAGTAATCCATAGAAATAATTTTTAAATCTATGGTAATAATTTTTAGTAATCCATGATGCCACATGTTCAATATAGATAGCATTAAGTAATTATTTTTATCTTTTATAAACAATGCAACACAATAAATGTAGTTGCCATGGTGATTTTTTTGAAGTGTTTCAATTGTAAATCTGAATATTATCCAACATAAAAGCAAATGTTTGGAAAGTTAAAAACTTTCAAGTTTTAAATATATAAAGATGTATTTCTTTTGTGAGCAATATTTTTAATTTCTTCTAAAAATGAATGAAGAAACAGGAATAGGAAAACTAATACATGATGGATTAGGTAAAATTTTAACTTGTAATATTTTTATTTTTAAAAAATTTAGCAAAGCATTAATTTGAAAATAAAATTAAAAGAATAAGTTTTAAAATAATTAAAATTAAAATTTTATTAACAGTACAATAGTTATTTTATTTGACTTAATATATATATATTTTTTTGACTAATTAATTTTATCATTTTAAAATTTTACTATTCAATTAAAAGAATAAAATTTTATGGGAAAATTATTTTATATTTTAAGCTTCAGATATAATAGAAATATTAAAAAAGGTTTTTTTTTTTTACAAAACAATGCACACCATGGTGAAACATAAGCAAATATTTTAATTTATACTTTTTATTAAGACTAAAGTATTATATTGATGTATAAAGTTATGTAAATTTAAGTTATTATTTTTTATAATTGTTTTTATAACTTTTTATTGAATTTAATTTTTTTTTTTATACATAAATAAAAAAATTAATAAACCATTTCTCATAAATAAATAATGATAAAAAATATTTATTTATGCATTTATTATGTGAACTTCACTTATCTTTTGTAGCATATTAAAATCTTTTTAGTTAATTTGTAATTGGTACTTATAATATTGGTATTTATAATGTTTTTATATACTAATTAAAGATAACGTTGCTCTTTATCATGGCTTTTACACTAAATTTAAACAAATCTGAGTTTGATGCAACTCTTCAAATAAAGGCAGGTATTATGATTCAAAAAAATAGTGAAATCTATTATTACCTAATAATATGACACTCATTCAATTTATGTATAATTTGATACCAATAAAATATAATATAATATTATGATTGAATATATATAATATTCATATAAAGATTTTAGGGCAGGCGAGACTCTTCAATACTATGTGTGGAGTTTGTATATATATAAGTATGTGGATCTTTGTTATAACCTGTATGAAATACTACTGCAACCCTAAAGTGCTATTTACTACTGCAACCCTAATGTGCTGTTTAACACAGTTTAAGTATTCCATGAATAATGCATGATGGCTCTCATTATTAAAATATAATATCACACAAAGTTTTATTGTTTCTTTTCAATTGAGTTTTTCTACAATTTTTTCTTTTAAAATTTATTATCTAAAGAGAATTTATTAATGTAGTTTAATAAGAATATGTTGTATATTTTTCATATTTTTTATTTCGTAGTTAACTGATTGTCCCGTTTTCATATTTTAAAGCTGTTCAACAACTTATACTTTTAAGCTATTTAACAACTAATGTTTTCATGTGAAAAAATTTATCTTTAAGGAAATATTTTTAAACTAGTCAGTGTTTTAGAATTTTTCCACACAATATAATTACAAAAATGTTTTTTAATAAAAATCGTTTTAAACATATAGAAGTAAATTTTTAACATATTTTTCACATTTGTCGTAGTTAACTAATTGTATCATTTTCATATTTTAAAGCTATTCAACAACTGTTTTTATGTGAAAAATATTATTTTTAAGAGAAGGAATTGATAATATTGTGCGATAAAATTGTTTGAAAAATGTTTTTTTTATAAAATTAGCACAAAATGTCAGTTATATCCCAGCAAGTTCTGACATATTTTGTTCTCATTTCCATTAAAATTTATGCAAAAATTTAATGCATTACTTTATTATGTTAGAAGATTCTTTTTTGAAAATTTATCAGTTGGTTATCCAATAAATCGTTTTTCTGTATTTTTTCTAGATTATATGACTGAACTGTTTGTTTTTACTTAGTGTTAGAAACTTTTAATGATTTATTAGAACTCATTTTTGCTTAATTCCCATTTGAAGCATAAAAACTAAAGTAAAATATTATTGCTTTAGATGTTTTGTTAAATGAAATTCAGATGTATTAAATGGTATGCCAAACAAGGTTGGGGTAAAATACATTTGATTAAATGCAAATAAAAATAAGTTAATTCTAGATTTTCAAATACAAATTCAATTAGAAATATAAACAATCAGCATTATTCAAGTACAAATACAATTACAATTACTTGTACTTTGTGTTATGAAAAAATACAACAGTTTTTTCATGACAAGGTTAATTAAGCAGTATACTAAATAGAAGAATGAAAATAAGTCTTCTAACATATATCCTTAAAAAGTTTTGGGTTTTTCCAAAAAAAAAACACTGGTTTAACATATAATATGGAATTGCAAATATATTCCAATCAAGCACAAATATTTAATTAAGTAGAACATGCAAGGGGTGCTGCTTTATTGGCTGAGTGTTTGGGTTCAGGTAGGCAATCTATTAATTAAAATTTTTTTTTCAATTTTTAAAACTTTTGCTGTATTTTTTTTTATAAAAAAAAAACAAAAATTAAGTTTACTTTTTATGGAAAAAATAAAAAACCACTAAGCATAAGTATATATATATATATATATATATATATATATATATATATATATATATATATATATATATATATATATATATATATATATATATATATACTTTATGTTTGATAAGTATATATATATATATATATATATATATATATATATATATATATATATATATATATATATATATATATATATATATATATATATATATATATATAAAATTATATATATATATATAATGCTTGATAAGTATATATATATATATATATATATATATATATATATATATATATATATATATATATATATATATATATATATATATATATATATATATATATATACACTTATGATACTCAATTGATATATGAGGAAGCATTTCTCAGATCATATTTTAGAATGTGTAAAAGTTAGATTTTCCAACAGGATGGTGCGTTCACTTGAGTAGTATGTTCACTTTAAAATCACACTTTCACTCAGTGAAAGTGCGATTTTAAAGGCAACATACTACTTAACTACCTTGGCTAACACGATCACTAGATCTGAACCGCATTAAAAATGTGGAATTTTTCTAATAGAACCTTGAATCACTTTTCTGATTTAATTTGATTCGAAATTTCAAATATTCCCAAATATATTTTCTCCATAAGTTTTCTTATGGTATATCAGATAACATCTTTAAGATTATTGAATCATTCCTTTCCAATCGTAGTATAAAATTTGTCCTCAATGGACAGCACTCCTCTTCATATCCTGTAACTTCATTGGTTCCTCAAGGTTCTATCCTTGATTCTATACTATTTTTAAATTAAATTAATAATCTTCCAGATATTCTCACATCTAAGGTGGCATTGTTCGCTGATGGTACTACCATATATTCTTGCTTTGATAAGAAGCTAACACTCTCTGATTGCTTATAGGGGGCATTTGAGCTTAAAAAGGATCTCACTTCTGCTACAGCATGGGGCTCACAGTGGCTGGTAAACTTTAGTTCAGATAAAACCCAATTGTTATTGCAATAATTTAGATCTTCCTATATTTATGAACAGTAATGTATTTGAGGAGTCATCTACCCTTCTAAATAAAGAACGAAACAATATTGTCTAATGTAAAACTTTTTAAATCATTACTAATTCTACATTTCTCTGATACATAACATAATATTGATTTTTTAAACTTGTGAAATTCAATGTATTTGTTCACACAAAAAAAAAAAAGAAATCAATTAGGAGATATAGAAAACAAGAGATATCCCAAACCCCTATCCCAACCTGCGTATGCATTTTATAGAATACCCCGAAGTTAATTAAACAAGATCACAAAGCTGAGTTTAGAAAAATTAAAAGTATTACTACTTTTAATTTTTAAAAGTAATCCTGATAAATTTTATTGATCATTCTTTATTGTCAACTTCTGTTTAACTAAAGGTAAACATTTTGAGTGAGCATTGATTTCTAAAAACACATAGCTATAAATGGTCCTATTCAAATCAAGCTCTAGGCATTTTTTTTTAGAAGTAGGAAATAATATATTAAAGTTTTCTTTCTTTTTTTTTTGTTTTTAGATCTTGCTTCTTTATTGCTATATAGATATGTTTTTTTTTTTAACCTTTCAGCAACAAAATTGTTTGATGTGTATGAACATAAATGTGGCCTTATCTGAAAGCAATTAAAAGCACTCCATGTTTGTAATTAAAATTCCTTGTCGGTTACTTAAAAAAAAAATACAAGATTTTGATCCACAAGGCTAAATGAAGAAAGATCAACTAATAAATAATACAGCCCATAGCTGTATTTTGTTCAACTAATGAACAAAATACAGTTATGGGCTAGATGGACAGGTGCATGTCCAATTATGAAATGTTTTTTATGCTGTATATTAACCAAATTTGCTTTAAGTCTTTAAGTCAGTATATCAGTTACCAAGTACAGTGGCATTCCTACTTAATATAAGCAGACATTTTGTATTGACTTATTAACATGTTTTTATAATCAGCATTTTCTGAACCATTTCCGAACCAATCTTCATAATGATTTCATAGGAAGTCGGAGATCTGCTGAGCAGTTTTGAACTAGTAGCACTCTTACAAATGTGCAAATGAAGGGGTCATCCATAAAGTATGTACGCTTTTATTTTGACCTCCCCCCTCCCCAGCATTTTGCAATATGCTTTTTTGAGTATTCTCTATCTCCATAAAAGTACAGATGCTTTTAACCTATCTACCCAACATTTTTTTAATTTAGTGTCTCCTTTCTTTAATAATTGATCCACTGCCCTTCCATTCCATAATCGGCATTTGCAGACCCCCTCTTTCCCTCCAAGCGTATGTACTTTATGAACGATCCCTAAGCATCTATATGTTTTAGAAAGACCAAATTATGTTGTTCTTTTTTTTTTATTATTTCAATTCACCTCCCCAAGGCCATAAAGCCCACTACAGTTGAGGAGGCTAATTTTAGTTGTGGTTTCAACAACTTTGAAGAACAAGGCTGCTGTGCAGAAAACAAGTTAAGCGCGGTACTACCAGAGATGTGGTGGGGATCGAACTTGGAACTTCTTGCCTATAGAGCGAGGATTCCACTGCTACACTACTATCGCATTCAGGGTTGGCATTAAAAAACCCGCCCAAAAAAACCCGCCCAATAAAACCCAAAAAAACCCGCCTAAAAAAACCCAATAAAACCCTGGAAAATCTGGGTTTTATTGGGTTTTTTTAAAGATATTTAATAAGTTTATGAACTATTGTAACCAACTTTAACATTATAACTGTAATATTATTTACTAAAATAATTATTAACTATTATTATTAACTTAATTATTATTAACTATTATTATTAACTATTATAACCAACAATAACAGCTATCAGAGCAGGTTTACTATTATTTGAATCATTATTTGGAAATACATTATTACAATTTTTATTCAAATATTTTTATCGATTGAGATTTTTATTACTTTATGTTGTTCACCTCCCAAGTTGAATTTAAATGAGTAGTAGTGACCAGAGAAGCCAACACAACAGTCGAGGAGGCTACCTTGTTGTGGTTACAACCCTCTCTCAACTCTTTTGCGGTAGTGGTGTTGTGGTAGAGCGCTCACTTCATAAGTGAGAGGTTCTGAGTTCAATCCCCACCACGTCCCTGGCAGTACCGCGCTCAACTCCTTTATCCGCGCAGTGGCCTTGTTTGTCAAGGTTCGTGTTTCGGAGTTATAGAGTTGAGAGAGGGTTATAACCACAAATAAGTAGCCTCCTCGCCTGTAGTTTTGACATATGGTCATAAGCTTTGAGGAGGTGAATTGATTTAAAAAAAAAAAAAACTCTTTAACTCCTAAACACGAATCTTTATAAACAAGGCCGCTGCGCAGAGGAACAAGTTTGTTTATTTGAATTTCAAGTTCAAAGTTTAATTGAAACTTCAGTTACTACCTCCCATTCTCAAGCCTTCTTTTTCACATTTTCTCATTGACATTTTTAATTATATAGAATAATACTTTTAAATTTAAAATAAATCAATACATATAGATTAAGCGTGAAATTTTTTTTTCTATTACAGTTTCAAATTATATTTAAAAATCTTTTTCAAAATAATTTGAAAAATTCTTGTTATAAATAATTAAACAACAATATATTAAATAAATTTTAAATAAAGTTAAAGTAGAAAAAAACTAATTTTCAATATCATTAAACAAAAACACAAAAAAATTTTTACAGAGACAAAATAAAAATTAAACCCAAAAAAACCCAAATTTACCCAATAAAACCCAATAAAACCCAAAAAAACCCACTGGGTCGGGTTTTTTTAAAAAAACCCGGGTTTTTGCCAACCCTGATCGCATTACGTTCTTTGTATTATGTTTGTGGTTACATATGTTGTATTAAATTAAGAAAGGGTTGTTAGAATATAAGTAAAGATATAAACCCAACAAGCCTCCTAAACTTTAGTAACCCTCTTGGTCTTGAGCATGTGAACACACACACACACATTTATATATATATATATATATATATATATATATATATATATATATATATATATATATATATATATATATATATATATATATATATATATATATATATATATATATATATCATGCCTTGTGATGAAATTTTATTGCGTTAGAAAATGCGTAGTGCCAATAAATGTCACTTTAACAACGGTAATATTTAAATCATTAGCATACTTTAAAATACCACCTTGTAATTAAATTAAATTTTAAACTGCTTTAAAAATCATTTAAACTGATATACCAAAAATTACTGAATTTAGTATTTGAAAAAGGTTATATATTATATATATATATATATATATATATATATATATATATATATATATATATATATATATATATATATATATATATATATATATATATATATATATATATATGTATATATATATATATATATATGTATATATATATATATATATATATATTTTATATATATATATATATATACATATATACAACTTCACTTCCAACAAGGCTGCAAGCAACCATTATTTGAGTTGGAAGTTACTGGAAGAGAAGGGATGAAAGTTATAGAGCAAGATTAACAGACAACTTAAAAGATTGCAAATTATATGAATCAGATAAACAAGATGAAGGAAGCGAATTCCAAAGAACTAATGTTTAAGGAAAAAAACTAGGTGAATAAAACTTCACAGTTTTATTTTTAACAGGAACAGTCACAGTAAAAAAATGAGACTTAATTGAATGACGAGTAACACGAGAATGAATTTTAGTAGATGGCACAACAGGTAGAACAATATTGATGAAAAGTTCTAAGCAAACAATAAGGTGGAATAACAGATTTGCCTTTATAATAGATACTGTTAAAGATTCTCCAGAAGTCATGATAGCCTAATTTTTGAGATGAAATACGAGATTTTGCGACCTGAGAATAGCGGACTTTGGCATTAGACAAAATCTTTTTACAATGGTTTCTAGCAATAGAGAACAGACGTCTGTTTTCTGTAGAATTGTTTTGCTGATAAATATGAAAGTAATGGTTATGATTGGAAATTGCAGCAGCAAATAAAAAGAAAACAATGGAGAAAAGTGAGGCTTGACTTGAAATTATCAAGAGGAAATAAAAGGTTCCATGTCAGCCTGAATCCAAGAAGTTTAGTAAGAAGCACATTTGTCAGCAGGAAGACAAAAGATTTTTAACCTAGGGCCATGACTAAGAAAATCATGGAAAGATTCTCAGTCAGCATGAATTTTCATGAATGTACCATCCATGTGCAACATAGCACCATCCATATTCAACATGGCACTGTTAATACTCTGATATTTTACAGCTGTTGATGAAATCAGCCTTTCTGAGAGCTACCTCAGAGTTCAGGAAACCTGACTACCAACCGACCTCAGAACCATAAAACTGAGTTTTAGAGCTGTACCCTTATTTGGAGATAATAGGATGAGTAGCCTAGTCATAAAAACAGTTATACAAGCAAAACTCATGCATTGAGTCAGGTCCAGCATTCAACATCCTAAACTCGGAACAACGTATTATAAATACATCTACACCATCTAAACTCGGAACAACGTATTATAAATACATCTACACCAGCTTTATAGGTGAAGAAAGGGTGCGAGGCCAGTCAACAGATAGAATCTGTTTACCTCTTTCCTTATTATAGATTTATTTCTCAAAGCAATCTTGTTCTTTACATAATCTTCTGTTTTTTTATCATCACTTATTTTTATTTTTTTTTACTTTTTAATGTAATTTTTTAAATTGATTATAAATTGTTTATAGATATAGTTACCAGTCAGATATTCATAAACAAAATTTATGTTAAATTACGTCAAAAGAGCTTTACATCATATTGAATTAATAGGAAACTAAAAATTTTAAATATATTTGTGAAAATAATTTTTTTAAACAAAAGCAATTCTTCTTTTATAAGAAAAAAATAAAGTTTTTTATTTGCTTTCACATAATTTAACAATGAAGAGATTTGTTTTATGTAATAAATCAGCAAGAAAAAAAATTTCATCTTTAATAAAATGGCAAAACAGTTTTACATTCCTTTAAAACTTAATTTTTCATTCTACGCTTATCTATTTTACATTCCTTCAAAACTAAACATAGATTTTTAAAATTGTATTTAATTCAAATAATTTAATTTTTAAATAATTTTAAATAATTTAAGTAGTCAAAAAATAAAAAAGTTTTTGCCTAACATAAAACTGCTGAATGTGTATGCAATTTGCCATTCTGTACATAATATGTGAGTTGCATAGTGCTTCTTAACAAGGCCTGATAAATATAAAATGAGAAGAAAGTCTTCAAACTAGTCTTAAAAACTTTTTTAAAGTATTATTTATTAAGCAAAATTAGGAATCTGTAAGTCCTTACTTTTATGCTTTATACTTTATACACTAACGTCTCTGCATTCCTGATTATGTTTAGTAAATATAAAATAATAAATGTAAATACTATCTGATGTTTTTCATATAGTTTTTATACATGCTGATATTTATTATTTCTTTTTAGTTGAACGGCAAGAGTTCCAGAGGCGTGTATTCCAAAATTGGATTAATAGCAGGCTGAAAAATGTAATATACGTTTTATATTATATCAATCGTTTCTATTTCTTTTATTTTTCTATTTCTTTTATTTTTATTGTTCTTATTATAGTAAGAGTTATTTTATTATTTTTATTTTAATTAATTAAAATAAAAATAATAAAATAACTAAAATAAAATAATTAAAAAAATTTTATTGCATTCTGTATTTTTTTAAAATTAAAAAATAATTAATTAATTTTTTTTTAATTTTAAAAAAATACAGAATGCAATAAAAAAAACAGAAAAATTGCAAATCAAGCATATATCTTTATGTTAATGCATTTATTACTATACCAACAGTGGCATGCTGGCTCCAAAAAGCTCATGCAGGATTTTTCTAAAAAGGCCTATTTTTGTGGGACTTTACCATATATGCTTAATTTGAAGACCCATAAATACAACAATGCCTTGTTTTTATAATGGCATGTAACTTAGAATAAACAAAGTAAAATTACTTTGCATTATAAAAAGAGTTGGTTTTTATCAGCATTGATATTATTGCTTTATATATATATATATATATATATATATATATATATATATATATATATATATATATATATATATATATATATATATATATATATATATATATTTTGTATTTTAAAAGTAATTTATTTAATAAAATAATTTAGGTATAAAATTAGAATTTTTAAAATTGCTCTTATATAAAACATACTTTTTATACCCCCTTACTGTTTTGAAAAAGATAAGGTTGCCATGTGGCAAGTTCAAATCATCAGCTTGCTTTCTTTTTACAAATTTTTGTCATTTAACTTGCAAAACAAAACAGCTTTACAGTTCAATAGATTTTATATTCTATATATAAACATGTTGTATACTTATTTTTCTTGCGCAAACTCAACTTAGTTGTAGAAAAATTTGAAATGTAAAACTAAAATAATATAAATATTGCAGCCAGGACATATAAGCAACAAATATCATCCCGTTTTTTAATATTTTCAGAATTTTTAGCTTTTTTCAAAATCTTTTCATTTGTTAAAGTGTATAATATCGTTAGATATGTTTGTATATTATCTTTATAAAACTTTACAAGTATGTTGTATTTTGAAAATTTTGCAAAATTTAAAAAATAAGACGCCGCTGGTTGGTCTTGAACCATGATTTATTTGTTCAGAAGCTCAGCGCGCTATCCACTTGGCCATGCCGGCACATTTATTATCGAAATTTTAAAACTATATAAATTTTTTTTTAACGAAAATAAATACTGTAGATCAAAAATTAAAGAGAGGTTGACATCATTAGAGAGAGGTTGACACAATTCAAATTTTAAGTAAAAATAAACTGTAAAACTTGACATATGTTTAAGTATGTTTTTAACAGCACATAATTTGATGTTTATTAGATTATTATTATATTAGACGTGCATTAGATATTTGCATACGCTTT